CCGAGGAGTTAAAGAGTATGAATTCCCCTTTTTAATAATACCTTGTACTACTTTTGCTTCTTTTTCACTTACATTTTTGTATGAAACACAGTACACTTTTAAGCTTAACTCACTCTTACAATATCGGTCTGTAAATAAGTTGCTTATTATATGTTCTAAATATGAAAGTTAGTTTTGGATAAACTTATTATAATGGCATTATGTACTGTTAATGTTTACAGGTACAAGCTTCCTTCTTGGGCTCAGTTTGAGATTGGAAGAGCTCCTGTGTATTGGAAAACAATGAATGGCCTCCCTCCTACCTCAGTAAGTGTAACGTTTTGAGTTAACTAATTGAAAAATGCATCATAATCCATTAACTTATAGTAAATATTTTTACAAATTTTGGCAGGGAGAAAAGCTAAAGCTTTTGTATAATCCAGCAGCAGCTCAACTAGTCCCTAGTGAAGAATTTGGAATTGCTTTTAATGGTAATGTTTTGCAAGCAAAATATTTGGATTCTTTATGAACAAACATAGAAAGTGTCAAGAACAAGTGACAAACTACACACTGTTATTCTGAGTTAGTTATCATATTAGTTATTTCATAAAAGTTTCGTATCGAATAGAGATAAAGTTAATTTATAATATATATCAGTCGATTTTGTAATTAAGTTAGACTGAATAGTAACATTTCATCCATCCAGGAGGTTTTAATCAGCCAATTATGTGCGGTGGTGAGCCAAGGGCTATGCTTAGAAAAAATAGAGGCAAAGCTGATGCTCCAATATATACCATTCAGATATGCATTCCAAAGCATGGTAATATGATGCTGTTGTTTCTGTGTGTACTTTGCAGACAAAACCATTCAATGTTATCTTGTTTACATCTCTTTTTTGTGCAGCTCTGAACTTGATCTTCTCATTTACTAATGGAGTAGACTGGGATGGTCCATACAGACTGCAATTTGAAGTTCCCAAGGCTTTAAAGAACAAGCCAATTGAGTTTTTTAATAGGGTAATTGACACAACTTTTCTCTCTTAATCAACTTCCTCTAATGCAATAGGGTAATGTACATAGAGATATCTAATGAAAGATTCATACATGTTTGATAATCTCAGATTTGATTTAAAATTACAAAATCTTTCATGCAAAAAAGAAGTTGGTGGCATTACTATAGTTATGTGACCTCAAAAGAAAACATTGGTGAAGTGGTAAGGGAATGAGTATTATCTATTATAAAAACTTAGGATTGGAAACAACTTTCCAATGTTCCTTTTTGAAATGTTGATCGGACGTTCAACGGGAGACCAGTCGATCATTTAGTACACTTAAGATGAAACTTTGATGAATATTCATTAAAGATCCATCACAACAAAATAACAACTTAACATTATGTGAGAATTTAGTACTTTTATTTTCTGAACTGGGTGTGCTGTTGTTATGTGGCAGGGTTTGGCAGATGAACTGAGTCAAGAAGGAGCATGTGAGCAGGCAATATTTCCAGACACAAACATAGTTATAGCAAGATGTGCTATGATTGGTAATTTGTCAAAAGAAGGGGTGAGAATATTCTTCCTTTTTTCAGTGTCTTTACTCTTTAACATAGTTCTTTTTCCTTGAACACTTTCAGTTTCTTAATGATGAATGAAAACATTGATGCAGGGTGATCGCTGCGATCTGAATCTTGTTTTAGGATGCACAGATCCTGGTTCTCACCTGTACAACCCACTAGCTAATGTAGATGATGGAACATGTCCAATTGATTTGGATTCTGAGTCTGAGGATTAGCATTATACTTTTCATGAATATTCATTTGGATCATACTTTGTGTTGGTTTTAAGTACATAGATAGTGTATATTGTATATAAATTCACTCTTGAAATTGAACATTGTCATGTCTGGTTTAGCTGTGGTCTTGAAAAAACTATGGTTTTGCTACATTATTTCTCTCTTTAATTTGTTACTGTTAAAACATGTTTTCTCTTTCTCTTAGTCTAGCTGAAAGTTTAATTTGTTTAAGTATACATAATATTAACAAACTACAATTTACATACTTGNATCACATTGCTTCAAGGGATTCCTCTATCAAAGTTCTGATCTTTTTCTCCCTCATATAAAAAACACAACTTTGTTTTTTCTTCTATCAGTATTCAAAATTAAGAGATACCCTTTTGCTTGTTCTACTCATCTGATGGAGCTTTGCATTTAGTTCTTCATGTTAATTTGAGAAAAAAAAAGATATTGATCCTTGTTTCACACCATTAGTATGGATGTTGATTAGGTCAAATTCTTTGATGATTTAATTAGACCTAATCTGATTTTATTTAATTAGATTAGATTGAATTTTACCTATGATTTAATCAAACACTGACTCAATTCAATTGGATAATCAATTGTGATGTAAACAAATTTGTCGAATTTTTTTAATGTATTGAATAATGAACTTTATTTTTTCTATTGAATTTGTCTAAATTCTTACCAACTTAATTCGTGAATACTCCTATATAACCCATGGTTAAATTAACAATTCTATAAAATTAAATTTTACTCCATAAACATACCAGATTCTTCATCCGGTTACAAAAAAAAGATTATATATTTTGGCTCGATTTAATTTTTTTTTACTTTATACTAATAAAAAAATTATTTCATTAACTTGCTATATAAAAAATATAAAATTTAAATTTATATATAAAAAAATTGATTGAACCAACTGATTATTTAGCCTTCTACACAAGAAAAGTTGGATTACAAAAAAAATGGTTTCATCAACAATGAACTAACCTTAATGTTTTTAAAAGAAAATTGCAAATGAATTGACATGACATTATTTTAAAAAGACATTATTTTAAAAAGAAAATTGCAAATGAATATAACTTGTACATTATAACTATATTACTAAATACTTTTGTTGGTATATAAAAAAAAGTAAGTATCTCATTAAGATAAAATTATCATAAGAAAAATAATTTTTTTTATTTTTTAAAAGAATAAAAAATAAGAAAAAAATAATGTGAAATAAATATAAAAAATATTACGTGTTGTATAAAAAATGTTTGATTTGAGAACATTTTGTTAAAAAGAAAATATCTACAAAATTTGACTAAAATGAAGCTCTATCAATTATCTTCTTATAAAAATCTTTATTTCTCTGTCATGCCGCTTACCACTGGCCACTTTCTACACGCACACTGGAAAATATCATTTATCTCTTGCTATCTCTTGGCTATTATAAATTTGGACATGTTCTATTCTTAGATTTCACTTCTCTTCTTCAATATTCTGTCATACATAAATGGCTGCAACCAATGCTTCTTTCTTTGCTTCTTCCACGCAGCCATGTTTGCCTGTGTCNTTATTTATTAGTTTTATAATTAAATAATTCTAACATCTCATACTCAATTTATCAGGAAAAATTGATTTCAGATATAATTTGATCAATTTTAATTTTGAAAAGTTTATTTTAGCAGTCACAATAAGTACAAGTAAATGTTAAACAATATTCTATAAGCAATGTATACATTTGAAAAATAACTTATTATCTGTATATTTTCATTTGTTATAATTCCTTTCACGACCTTTATTTTTTAAAACAAATTAAGACCTTCAATGTGAGAGAATGTTTATCAAAACTCAATATTTTCGAGACTAATAAAATATTTTTTTAGTTCATGTTCTTCCGAAATTTCAAAGTTATTTGAATCAACCAAAACCCAAATATATTTTTCATATTATAAAAATATTGAAGTTTAAATTTATTGGAATGTGAATTTGATACGAATATTCAAATCAAGAAGAAATTAAAAATATCAATATGCACGCATCATTTTCCCTCGTATTACTATAATATAATTGGAACGTGAAATTTGAATTTTTTGGAATATGACATTGATAGGACTAGTCAAATTAAAAGAAAAAATTAAAATGATCAATATAGACCAATGCACCCATCATTTTATCATTTACTATTATATTATTATTAATATTATTGGAAAGTGAAGTTTAAAATTTTGTTATACACCGTCATATTACTATATTCAGAAGACCAAAGCAGAAATTAATTAAAAACACCAAAGACTTAGAATTTTTTTATAAAACTCACTAAATATTGAAAAATAAAATGATAGATATTGCAAGTAGCAACACCAATAAATAAGAAATTGACTTTGGAATTCAAGCTGCAGGAATGTAAAATTTGTACACATTCCAAAATGCTTCTTTTAATATTAAAAGTCGGAGTTTTTTAATTCCTTTCATGCTTCCATCACTCAGTGAATTATTCAAAAGCAGCCTTATATGATTATTCATCCATCTATCTCTGATCTCTCTGACTTTGCTGCCCAAACAGAAGAAACTTGCATATGCAGATAAACACAACATTCAAATCAAACTTTAACACATCCAAAGTTTAAAAAATCTTAACTTCATTTACTGTGCACAATCTTAAATCTGATGTAATGATAATCAAAACTTCATTCCTTTAATCAATCGGATCATGGCAAGGGAATTCCAACTTAGACAGCATTAAGAAAAACAGACTCAACTCAGAACATTGTAATTAAGACTACTTCTATTCTGATACTACCTTCTATAGCATCATTATCTGATCTTTTCTTTTCTTTTCTACAATAAAGAGTCTCACCCTTTTGTGTACTTTTTCCAATGATTAAATGATCTTTGGCATATTATGCACAATGTTCAGGAAAAATCGTGCTTTGTGGTGAGAGCAGCGCCTTTCCTTTTGCTATCTTCGTACTTGCCTGCTAAAGAATCAAAAAGAAGTCCAGCACCAACCCCTACGGCCAAATCAATAGTGTAATGGCCTCTGGTACCAAGCAACCTCACAGCTTGCAGAACATTAAGCACATCAAAAGTCCAAGCCAGTTCCTTCCTCTGCATCCTTCTCATGTCCAACGAAGCAATCACCGACCCTGCGACGTGCCCCGAAAAGAACAAGAAAAAAGACACGTTTCCGACAGGGAAGTCCGCACCAGAACCCAGAAATTCCTATTCACCATCAAAGTTAAATAAACCAACCAATCAAAAAAGTTTGAATAATCAAAAGCAAAACATTCTACATGGTTTGTTGAATCTCCTCTTGTTTCTATTACTGTATGGCTTTCTCAAACTAAAGAAATTTCTGAAATTACAACACCAGCTGTTATTTCAATCTTTGGGCATATACCCTTCAGTTAAATGTTATACAAAACGTTTAGACCTGCATAATTACCAGATTGCAGTTATTCTGAAAACCTTCTTTTTCTCTGGTTTCAAAGACTTAAATGAAAGGACAACGTCTAACACTTTTAGGACAAGATAGATAATAATAGTAATCAACCCTTTTGGTGATACCCTGCTAACTTTAGAATCAAGGTAAAATGTTGATTCTAAAGAAGAAAAAAACAACAACACAATTATTTGAATTGCATGTAAGTATTATCAAATGGAGAAAGCTTGATAAAACTCTTTTAGTGATGTTCTCTGATTAAGACTAGAATATAGTCATAGAAACATTCTTTAATTAAGCAAATTAACAAGAAAAAACTGAAATTCGAAATCAGAGAAAACTACGACCAAGAAAATGTGTCTATGCTTTGGTTTTATAGAAACTGAACGAATTATCACCTGAGGCAACGGGAGCTGGGTTGAGTACCCCAAAATCCCACGACATGTGAACATGAACAGTGTTGAAATAGTGGCTCTGGGGCGACCTTCGATCAGCCACGTCCACAAGATATAAGTCGTTTGCATTCCGACAAACACCTACGCGTCTCAAAAGCCAATAATGNTCTGTACAGTGAAAAGTTGTATGAACTAGTAATTTCTCATGCAGCTAGTCCTTTTCTCAATGTGTCATTACCAAAAAGTTACCCTGTGAAGAAAAATCATATGAAAATTAGCAAAAAGATCTGTGCTGCTGCTGTTGCAACACCAACAACAACTACTGAGGAAGTTAAAGAGTATGAATTCCCCTTTTTAATAATACCATTTACTACTTTTGCTTCTTTTTCACTTCACATTTTTGTATGAAACACAGTACACTTTTAAGCTTAACTCACTCTTACAATATCGGTCTGTAAATAAGGTTTGCATTCACTTATATGTTCTAAATTGGTTTTAAATAAGGTTTGCATTCACTTATATGTTCTAAATTGGTTTTATCTTTTGGTGTGAACTTTCAACACATAAAAGTTAGTTTTGGATAAACTTATTATAATGGCATTATGTACTGTTAATGTTTACAGGTACAAGCTTCCTTCTTGGGCTCAGTTTGAGATTGGAAGAGCTCCTGTGTATTGGAAAACAATGAATGGCCTCCCTCCTACCTCAGTAAGTGTAACGTTTTGAGTTAACTAATTGAAAAATGCATCATAATCCATTAACTTATAGTAAATATTTTTACAAATTTTGGCAGGGAGAAAAGCTAAAGCTTTTGTATAATCCAGCAGCAGCTCAACTAGTCCCTAGTGAAGAATTTGGAATTGCTTTTAATGGTAATGTTTTGCAAGCAAAATATTTGGATTCTTTATGAACAAACATAGAAAGTGTCAAGAACAAGTGACAAACTACACACTGTTATTCTGAGTTAGAAATTTATCATATTTGAAGTTATTTCATAAAAGTTTCATATAGAATAGAAATAAAGTTAATTTATAATATATATCAGTCGATTTTGTAATTAAGTTAGACTGAATAGTAACATTTCATCCATCCAGGAGGTTTTAATCAGCCAATTATGTGCGGTGGTGAGCCAAGGGCTATGCTTAGAAAAAATAGAGGCAAAGCTGATGCTCCAATATATACCATTCAGATATGCATTCCAAAGCATGGTAATATGATGCTGTTGTTTCTGTGTGTACTTTGCAGACAAAACCATTCAATGTTATCTTGTTTACATCTCTTTTTTGTGCAGCTCTGAACTTGATCTTCTCATTTACTAATGGAGTAGACTGGGATGGTCCATACAGACTGCAATTTGAAGTTCCCAAGGCTTTAAAGAACAAGCCAATTGAGTTTTTTAATAGGGTAATTGACACAACTTTTCTCTCTTAATCAACTTCCTCTAATGCAATAGGGTAATGTACATAGAGATATCTAATGAAAGATTCATACATGTTTGATAATCTCAGATTTGATTTAAAATTACAAAATCTTTCATGCAAAAAAGAAGTTGGTGGCATTACTATAGTTATGTGACCTCAAAAGAAAACATTGGTGAAGTGGTAA